TCAGCCTTTGTGTACAGTTTGGAATCCGCTGTTGTGTAGACCCATGTACCAAGGTGAAGAATGTTGTAACGGTAAAACATTGCGCAATGAAACTGCAAAAATAAAGTATTTGGGCCAAAATAAAGCACAAATAAACTAAGTACGTACATTCTATAAATATTTTCTTACAAATCGAACACACGACTCACACTGCTTTTTCTAAAATTATAGACGACGCAAAAACGCCGAAATTTAGTCTTATGACATATTCCGTACATATTTTAAAATAACTACGTGCTATAATCATAAATGGTGGTTGAGACTGGTATTTCGTTTTAACCCTCCAGAGCATTCAAAATATGTAAAAAAATATTTTAAAATGCAGCTCCTGTCTGATAGAAAACACAATACATCTGCTTCACAAAGACAAAATGATTAATGCTGTTTAGAGAAATACTCGTTGTTTATTCTGAGAGTCATATACATACTCTGTTGGGAGAATGCAGAGTTTTGAATGTCAAAGAAGACAGTACACATACTTGGGTCTTAACACACGTAATACTAATAATAGTAGACATATCTATGTGCAGTTCTTAATGATAAGGACGGGGCACAATATAAGTGCCTTCTTTCATACCACCGAATTTCTTCAATCACTTTTCGAAAAAGATGAAACAAATTGTGTAAAAGATATTCATCTCGTAGCTTAGACTAGTGCACTGTTCTCAGCATGACCACGAGCACCTGAGTCAAAACTGTAATTAGTCACTGCTCTGTTTGCCCTTCATAATGGAAGCAGGGTGCATATCGCAAAGAAGAATCCAATTAATCGTTTACTACTGTCTGATGGAGGACATACCAATCAGCTTCATTTGCGAGTATACGTAATCAGTACGTCAATGAAGTGTTAATCAAATCCTCAGTGAAAACTCTGCAACAACATTCATCTCCATCCACGTCGCCAAGTTAATTTCGTGTCGGACAGTTCAGCAGTTCGGATCCAAATATGGACTCTGTTTGGGGAAATTCGTAACTATCACCATGAACAAGAATGCTTATTCGAGGCCTTCTCTGCACGCCAACTTCAGAACCAAATAACGGGGAATTCCCTAAAACATGTTTGGTTTGAAGCGGGTATAGAGAACAGCTACGGACTGGACGGTCGAGGGGTCAGAGTTCGAGACCCGCGCCGTCCATACGGACTCCGTGGCCTACCCAGGCTCCTATCAAATGGGCACTAGGGGATCTTTCCCCGGGGGTAAAGCGGCCGGGGCTTGAAGTTGACTGCTGACTTCTATTTAGCGCCGAGATTAAAAATTATACAGCTATACGTTCATGGGCCGGTCACGGTAGCCGAGCGGTCTAAGGCATTTACTGTCTTCGCTCGCTCCGAAGCCGGGATCGTGGGTTCGGATCTGTTTCCTGTGAGGTACGAACTGAATTTTTATATATTATTCTTATACACTGCCGGTCACGGTAGCCGAGCGGTCTAAGGCATTTACTGTCTTCCCTCGCCTGGAAACCGGGATCGTGGGTTCGAATCCTACTCAGGACAAGGATGTTTAGTTTGTGTATGTGCGTTTTTCTGTGTTTGTGTACAGGTAGAGGCCTTGCGACAAGCTGATCACCCGCCCACAGAATGTGTAAGATTTAGAAAAACCGAAGTGAACGGATAAGTTCATGGAAGTAGGCCTAGGCTCACTGGGGCCGTAGTGCCAAGAAAAAAAAATACGTTCATGGCGTGGTTCTTAATTAATTAATTAAGCATATGGAAAACTTTATCTATCTATATCTCGACAGGCCTTTATTGAACCTTTGCCTCTTTGTCAGTTTCTTGGTCTTTTACACAGTCGATAGGACTCCTTAGACTGGGGATCAGCAAGACCGCTATCTACACACAGGAAAACACAAACATAGAATAAACGCACACATACATTCATACCTCGAGTAGGGTTCGAAGCCACGATCCTAGAGTTAGAGCGAGCGAAGACGGCTCATACCTTAGACCGCGCGGCCTCTGCGATCGGCACAGGAGAGTCATGCTGGGTTCGAGGCTCTCTCCTCGGTAGGTATGAAGCGTAATATCGTCTGGGAGATACCGCCGTGTAGTCTGGCACTTCATCAGCGGTTCGGAGGAATATACTGTCTCCATGTTCAATGTAGAAGAGTAAGGGAAGCAGGCGGCAAACAGAGCTTGCTACTAGCAGCGTCGTGAAATAATCCACATAACGAAGACGCACGGAACTCGCGATAATACCGTGAGTCGCAGATTACAGAGACAACCAAATGAAAAAGTAAATCATGAAGGTACTCGTAATTCTGAGACGCGTCATGGAACCGCCGTTCCGATCAACAAACTGCAAATAAGAGTAATTCCGTTTATGATTCTATGTTTCAACTGATTTCTAAATTAGATGGGACATTTCCTGCCTTTAGAAACGGAATATCGAGTCACAGGGCTATTGGACCTGCGTGTAGACCCTTCTGCGCAACAAGCAACAGGATACGAAAGAGAAGTGTCGATGTGAGAGACAGAAGTTTCGCAACCGGTTAGTACATTCAACAAAAAGTTCTGTGGAACTTAATATAGATGACCTTGTCGTTCTTGAGCTGTTATATTGAAATGCCTGCTTAGAGTTACATAACAATCGAGTACCTATTGATGTAATGCATGCAACGTATAACCTGTCGGCATATGTAAGCAAAAAGAAAAACTGACAGCTAGTTCGGTTCTATGCAACGGAATCTCCAAAGTACCAAGAACTTTTGGGAAAAACTAGCAGTCTATCCTTCCACACGGCACGGACCGCATATATAACCACACCTCCAATTCTTCGTTGCCGCGGGAACGTCATTACTTGTTGTGGACCTAGCAACGATAGGGGTATACACAGACAAGGGCATCATACAAAATCATGAGTCCAACAATTGTTCTATTTTAACATGCATTCGTTGCCGCGGAAATGTTCTCCCCGAGCCGTTGCCTAGCACCGAAAGAAGGGGTGAACTTAACCAGTAGTTGCTTTACAAAGATAAGAGGGATACACATAAAGACACTCGGGCTAACGGCAGGGTTTCATGAAGTACGTTGTTGCGATAGGTTCAGGCGCCATGATATAATTACCAGATTTAATAAAAGACCGATTCAGGTGTTCGAAAGTTGATAGGTGGGTGGTGGATTCACACACACACAGAGGATAGAGGCAGCATAAACCTACTTTAGAAGAGTGGGCTAAAAATGAGATCCTAGAATAAGTGCAGCGCTACATATAACAAATGAAATTATATTGTGATGTGTATACCCATTACTAGGAAACGGCTCGTTAAACACATTCCCTCAACACACACGAACGCGGCGACAGGACATCCATTGCTAGGTAACGGACCAGTAAACACGCATCCTTAACAATAGAAAACAGTGTTTTCGGTGGGTTCCGTGCCGAGGGGTTATAAAATGGCACTGTCAGAAGACGGGACAGAGTATAGAACAGTAATTCAGAGCATCTGGTAGAATTCTGGAGATGGTAGTTGAAATGAGTGAGAGGAAATGGCAAGAAAGGAATTAGGCAGTGCGAAGAAGACTTCATGTGTGATGTGAAGGGACAGAGAGATTATGATAAATCCGTTGCCAGGATACGACTAGTGAAGACTGAGAATTCTAATGGTTGCGTAAGGGTGAACTGATAAATCTGTTGAATAGTGATAGCGCTGTGTAATAATTGCCTGTAGTCCAATGTTGTGTGAATGTATAAGGTGCAATAAATCCAATCATCCAATCTAAAACCCCGTCTATAGTCACTCATACACGTGACAATATACCGAATTGCTGAATGCACAACAGTAATCTTACCTCTTATATACATTATTAAATGTCTGGATCTTTATAATTATGCACAGGCATTTCACAAGAAAGATGTGGTTATCCTACCAAATTTCTTGACAACCCTCATTTCGTATTATGACACTCTAAATTACTGGTGCGGCCTGGTGAGGTTTACCGCACGTCTCACGAGGCGACAAGAGGCGAGTATGGAACAATGGTGGAATTGTGATTGATACTGTCACGCATGTGAGTGTGGATATAGACGGGGATCAGATTTATAACGGGATTCATCGGACCCTTTGATACAGAGCGTGACTGCACTTTACAATGCACTATTACACACAGACACGCACTAATGTACACAGTCATGTATCCACTAGCCACTGCTTGGTAGCGGCTTCCAACGTTCTCAATCCTCTGGGTTCCCGAACTATCCCCGGCCTCAGCTACCAGCTTCCCAAAGCAACAGCTCACAACGACTGAACCTTGGCGGTTCTCCGACTGACTCACTCACCAATCAACTAACTTCCGCACCATAGCTCAAGCAGTTAGTCGCTAGCTTCCCATCGCGGCGGCCGGGGTTCGATCCCGGGTCTGGTCAAGTGGGATTTGTGGTGGACAAAGTGGCGCTGGGGCGGATTTTCTCCGAGTACTTCGGTTTCCCTTGCCAATCTCCATTCCACCAAATTCTCCATCATTATAATCACCCGGGGCAGGCTACAATAGGCCAATCAGTGGCCGCCGTGCCCAGTGGACCCAGTTGGACTCCCCCCCCCCACAGTGAATAAAAAAAAACAACTCAACAGACTGACTGAATTCGCTGATCATCTGCCCTGTTTATAACATCTAGGCACGGAAGGCACAGAAAACACCTTTCCTCGGTTGCTGTTTATTGGCTGTTGTCTAGTTGTTTCGCGGTCGTTGCTTGGCAACAGGTCTACATGCCACAACATGGTAAAACAAGAAACTCGGAAGAAAACCCCGCTTCAGTGCCACTCCATCCACTACGGTTCCGACAAGATGACACATGGGACTGAACTCGAGGATCTGCAAAGTGAAGCCAGAACCCAAATTCTTCAGCTACGGCAAGTCCCGCTGGCGTCGTAAAGCCGAGAAACAACGGATTCTATTCATATGCTCTTATGTAATATGTATGTACTGCAACAGTACAGTAGTCATGTCCTGCTGATGTACTCACAGGTGTCCAGGGCGTCCACCGCTGTGGTCCAGAGGGTGAGGAAGGCCACCAACATCGTTCCGGTCTTCATGTTGCATCAAACCTGCAGCCCACTCTTACCGCGCCTCACAACATGGCACCTATAAAGAATAAACACTGTCATACGAAAAAGCACCCACAAGTCACCTCTCTTGAATCAGCTTCAAAAATAATATTCCTGTTAATCTGAGAGTCCAGTCATATTCCCTTGTTATGTTGTGAGATATAAGCAGCTGACAACTTGGACTAAATATTTTTCTGTCTCTCCTCTTGTGCCGTTTTGAGTGAACCAGTGATGTTACGAAAGTGGTTATTTTTATGGAACTACCAAAACATGCTGTCTGCCAGTTTAATTTTATGCTAAATACCAACATGATTCTCAAAACTTGGACCTCGAAAAATAATAATTGACGGTTTGCCGTCACAAGCCTACTTTCCTTACTCTGAAAAAAATTAAAACAGACTTATGATATTACTTTGCTGTATGTGTGCGTATCCTCCCTATTAACTTTCGAATGATTGAACGAATCTTCATGAAAGTTGTTACGTACGCATAGCATGGCACCTCACCCCAACTCATCGGCTTTCATTCGTTCATTCATTCATTCATGAAGCTGAGCCCTTCTTGAGAAGCCGCCAATTGTGCAGCTACTCAAGAACTTCCCAGTACTTTATGGAGCCCGAAGGTTCATTACCGTATTCACAAGAGCCCTCCACCGGTCCATATCCTGAGCCAGATTAATCCAATTCATACCATCCTACCCTATCTCTCTAAGATCCATTTTAATATTTTCCACACACCTATATCTTGGTCTTCCCAGTGGTCTGCTTCCTACCGGTTTTCCCATTACTATCCTATATTCATTCCTCTTCTCATTCGTGCTATATGCCCTGTCCATCTCATCCTCTTTGACTTGATCATTCGAATTACACTTGGAGAAGAGTACAAGGTATGAAGCTCCTCATTATGCAGTTTTCTCCAACCTCCTGTCACTTCATCTCTCTTCGGTCCAAATCATCTCAACGGCGTACATCCTAAATAGCTCCCACAAGTAATACCAGCATTACAGCCCCTCAAATTGTTGCGGCAACGGTACTTCTATTCCTGTAGACCTGATATCTGGGTTAAGCGTGAGGAGAAGCATGGCAATAATTAGTAGAGCAGTGGTTGCAGCTGCATTGTAACGCACTATAACTAAGACCACTGACTAACCCATATACGTGTACACCCTACAAACCTCAAATGGATTCGACAAATTCCACTGCTCATTCTGTTGAGAACGACCAGGTATAGAAACAAGGACAGAACTGCAAATTATTTTCACTTTTATGTGAAGTGACTGTGTTTAAGTTTGTGGTGGTAACGTTGGCTGGGTTATGAAATATTTAACTTGAGTCCGCGAGATTAGTTTGCGCATGGAAAACCAGAAGCACGCTTTGTTGTTCCTGTTCTACATCCTGAGGAGGGCGTATGCAGACCAACAGGATAGCAACAGTAACTAACCATAGTTGAGTACAAACCTACAGAGGTGCAGTGGTGTGAGTATGTATGGAAGTAAAGGTTTGCATAATTCATAGGCATACCGTCGTTACCATGGAGACCGGACGCCAAGCACAGACCCAACCACACGTCCATCCATATGCTGCCCACTACACAAAGCATTTAGACAACCGTATATATTTCTGCACTGTATGGTTAGAATATGTGAACACGGTTTAAAGGAATGTACGCACGTGTTATTCTAGCAGTAAATTACTTCACGAAGGAATAAAAAAATCTATCTCAACTTAATGCACAGTATGTACAAATGTAATTAAATTTAAATACATTACAGTCCGGTATATAACATAACAGCACTGGAATCCAAAATTGTCTGTAAACAAACAAAACAAACTCCGTGGCCTGTAGTCCGCAAGTGAACTATACCGACCGAGCGACAGCCGTTTGCCGGCGAAGTTCATGCCAACTTTTGCGGATAGAGGATGTCGCGTGGTCAGCGCAACGGATCCCCACGGCCGTTAATTTCGGTTTTCTTGACCGGAGCCGCTATTTCCTTGAAATAGCTCCTCAATTATCCTCACGAGGCTGAGTGGACCCCGTTTCAGACCCATTACTTCTCAGAAAATCTGGTAGCGCCGGGAAACGGAGCCGGGACCTCTGGAACACTGGCCATTAGACCACGGAGGCGGTCAAATTTTTCTGTAAACACTCAAAATATACGTATTAATTTAAAAAGATTACATAATCTCACTTATTAACTATACTCTTTTATTGCTAGTGGGGTGGGACTAAGTCCCTTGTACTGCGGCCACTTGTGGCCTACTGTACCAGCCCCAGATGATAGGTGAGGGTGATTGTGGAGCATTTGGTGGAATGAAGATTGGCAGGGGAAACCGAAGTACTCGGAGAAAACCTGCCACAGCGCCACTTTGTCCACCGTAAATCCCACTTGACTAAACCTGGGATCGAACCCGGGCCACCGCGGTGGAAAGCCAGCGACTAACCGCTTGAGCTATGGCGCGGCCCTTCACTTATGAACTAACTCCTGGCAAAAAGCTTGTTATTCATTCATGCATTTATTTCGTTGTGGCTTATTTAACGCCGCTGTCTGTATCTCATATCACACAGCGTTGAATAATATGAAGATTAGTGAATAATGAATTCGAAAGAATATGAAAACGAAGCGGTCTGTCATAATTGAGACACTGTCCCAGCGTATGACTGGAGGGACTGAGGAAAGCCACGGAAAACCGTAGTCATGATAGCCGATATCCCGATATAGATTCGAACCGAGCAACTCCAGAATACAAGTCAGAAATGCTACTGCTTCATCTAACTTGCTCGGTAGAAACATTCTTGACAAACTGATAGTGTCTTAGTTGGTCATAATGTTGTCATTTATATCGTATATGAGCCTAGGTTCATGATCGTGCATACATGAGCCCGTTAACGAATCTTGTCCTGTTTCCAGTTTTCTAATATTGTTATGAAAGTGAAAATTTGGTAGCTACATCTGAATGCGTATGCTTCTAGGACGGCAACAAAAAATGTATACATAATTTTTGTAGGAAAATTTCTTTCAAAACGGCACAGATTGGAATGAAAAAGTAATATTAATATTAATAAGGATGTTAAGGTAAAAAACGTAAGCTGTCCCTGTTAACAGGTTGTGGAGGCCCAAAGGGTTCTGAGACGTCGAGGCTCCCACATTTCCTCTACACAATCTGCTCACAGATGGCGGTGAGGTCGTCACCAATCACGCCAGCAAACCCGTTACACCCCGGGGAGATTCCTGGTATTCATTTCTGTTAGAGGTTGAGTCGACCCCAGGGCCATATTGTGGCTGGAAGGATTAGGTCAACTGAAAAATCCAACGACCTCATCGGAAATAGAACCAGCGACCTTCCGGCTTGTAACACAGTGCCTCAACCAACTACGCTACTGCGTGTCCCCCTTAATAAGAATGTTAGGGAGAGTAATTGTGAAGATAGGTTTTTGTAAGTGGCTCACAATAGTCTCACATGCTAGGTATTGATAGTAGCTGTGTTGGACCCTCGTGTTGTGCTAGCAGAGAGCTTACGCATGGCATGTCGCACGGGATCCTCTAGCTACGCGTTCCGTACAGCGTTTCAACGTGTCTACATTTCCCTTCAAAATAATATCCTCGCTGAGAGGAGACAGCCTATAAGTCAACACAATATATTTTCTTCCTAAAATAAATTCCACTCAAATTAATTAAAAGTATTCCTGTAAAAGAACATATTTCTGTGCATAAGGCTCTTTAAGATACAGCATTTCTTGGTCTTGAAAAAGACCCTAAATTGATGTAATATAATGCTCAAAACCACAAATGAAATGGGATAAATGTTCATAATTTTCGCATTATGGTATAAATTAAAACTAGCATAGTTCCTGTTGAGAATTTTCCGTTTATTATACAAGATATCCATCCACCCATTCACCCATCTAGGTCTCTACAGTCCTTTCTCGTGCCTTGGCCGAGTTTTCAGCTTTACGCAGTCTGTAGGACTCCTTGGACAGGGGATCAGCCCATCGCAAGGCCGCTACCTGGACACAGGACAGCACAAACACAGAACAAACACACAGACATCCCTGAACCAAACCAAGAGGGATGAGAGCCCCCGATCACACTGTTTGAGCGGACCAAGGCAGTTCATGCTTTAGACCGCTCGGGCACTGCGATGGGCTTTATGTAGTTTCCGTTTACACGTTACAGATTACACTTAGACGCAATTACACTAATAAGTTGGAGACAGGCAACATTAAGAAACACAAAGTTGTGAACGCAGAAACAGATACGTAGATATAGTGGTAGAGACTTTTCAGCGCTTGCGCAGTTGAACCTCCTGGTAAGGTAAACATACACCGGGTTTTACAAGTGTATATTATAATTTCCGCTCTACGCAGCGATCTCCGAAACTAAAGGAACAAGCAGGACAAAGGCAAACTAAAGGGGATACGTGGTAGCGTTGTTGGTTCAGGCACTATGCTAGAAGTATGAGGTCATGGGTTCGATTCACGATGAGGCAATTTAACTTTTTAGTTGACCTAACACCTCCAGCCGCACTACGGCCCTGGGGTCGGCTCAGCCTCCAACCGGAATGACTACCAGGAATCCTCCTGCGGGTAAAGCGCGGCCGATAGGCGCGTAAGGCTCACAACCTCGCCGCTATCTGCGAGCTGATTGTCTAGAAAATTGGCAGCCTCGACGTCTCACACTCTTGTGGCCCTCCAGGGAGGACTTTACCTTTTGCCTTTTCCAGGCACACTAATTGATGTTTCATTTCTTTTGCAGCTTTTTGTACGTTTATAAAAACATACCCCATTGTCACAATTCTAATTTCAAAACGTGAACGATAATTTGATATGATACTACGTGCAAAACATGTCTTTCATCCTGACACCTCGAGTGTTCTTAATGCCGTATGCCAAGAGCGGTGAAGAACTGTCTTAATTTACTGCGGTTCTCTGTAATCTTGTCTCATCTTGTCACGCTGATATATGGTGTACAGCAAATACAGACACCAAAAGATGTTTGTTCGCATTTTGCCAACGGCAGGTACGATTACGGGGAAGAAT